ACAAAATGCAATTTTAAAATTGAGGGAAAAAAAGAAAAATTCCAAAAAACAACATAAATGGCAACATAAAACCATAAAAATGAACAAAGACCAATCTCAATAACTTAATGAGTCTAACATTAAGATTGTAAAATTCCCCAGAACACTGACAGCCAGAAGAGATAGCGCCCAGTTTTTAGCTCGTATATTAAGCTAAGTGCAACACTGTTTCTTACACCAGGCTGAATACATCACTAATTTCATGTTGTGTGTGTTTTAGCTGGACTACCCGAACATGGTAGAGGGCCTGTTGCTCATCAACATCAACCCGTGTGCTGAGGGATGGATGGACTGGGCTGCACACAAGGTAACACAGTGAATATTGGACTTGCAGAGCTGACGAAAAGATAAATGCTGAATTAAAAGTAAATACAATTTTTATGTCTAATTTCAGATCAGCGGCTGGACCCACGCCATGCCTGACATGATCATCACCCACCTCTTTGGAAAGGTACACCTTCAAATTCTTTTTGTTTTTTAAGGATTTTCACCTAAATCCTACTACACTGGTGCAGGCCAGTATGTTGTTAAATAGCTTTTCTAGGTCTTTAGGTCTCAGTGAGTTAAACTGATTTTGTGTTTTGGTCACCACAGGAGGAGATCCACAACAACCATGACCTGATTGCGACATACCGCCACCATGTCATAAACGACATGAACCAGTTTAATCTGCATCTCTTTGTCAAGTCCTACGAAAGGTAAACACATCAGCGTTAGTCTACCTGTTGCTTTGCTGGCAGTGATAGAAAGAATTTCTAACTAGGAATTCAAGGCCAAGAAATAAACTAAATAAAGCACAACCTAAGCTGCAACACGTTGTAGAATCTTAACTTTTAATTAACAAAAATTAAGATTTTCTGTTATATCCTTTACGTCTTTCATTACAGTCGGAGGGATCTGGAGGTTGAGAGGCCGGTCCCAGGAAGCAACGTCAGAACCCTCAAGTAAGTTGCTGTCAAGCAACAAGAAAACATCACCTGCTGCATATTTTATTTAAATTATAATGCAAGTCATGATATTTAATGTCTGATTGTATGTGTTCCCCTCATCCAGGTGCCCTTCTCTGCTGGTGGTTGGCGATAGCTCTCCTGCTGTGGAGGCTGTGGTGAGTTGAAGCACGGTCACTGACGTTCACACAGCCATTAAAACAAGGCTCTAATGCTAATGATCAGCCTTCCCACCACTATAACCCAGCTAACGTGTTTTCCGTTCCCTTCAGTCACCTCTTAAAGCCCCAAGAGATATGCGAGATTTAACGCTCGGGGACATCAGTTTTACATGAGGCGAGAACAAAGTTGGGAACAAAAGTCAAGTGACACAGGGTAGTTTTGATCTATGAGAGTTAAAAGACTTGTTTCATTGTTACTGCTTTTAACCCTGAGAGTCGCCACAAATCCTTTATTATCCCTAGGCAGTGCATATAACTTTAAATTCAAATAAAAATGCACTTTTTATTTCAGCGTTGTCATTTTTTATAATGTGCAATATATAAGATACTTTACTTAACATGTTTGTTTTATGTGCACCCACAGGTTGAGTGCAACACCAAGCTGGACCCAACAAAGACAACCCTGCTTAAGGTAAAGAGCCTTGTTTCTGTCTCTCTGTGCTGCGTCCCCTCCCCCTCCGCCTTCTGTCCCATATCCTCCTCAGATTATAATAGCCTTGATGGAAATGCATCGCCTGATAAGATTCCAGTGGCTCAGCATTTACCTGGTGACATATTAACCAGAAGTAGAACAGCTGAATGCAATCTGCTGCGACTGACCTACTTGTGTTGGCCTTTTATGATCCGCAACTGAAACCAAATGGCTCTTGGAGCTAAAATGGGTGCCATTTACTGGGGTTAACTGTTCGGGGTCCAGAGGAACACTGATTGGAAGTAGCAGGGGCAAAGTGTTCAACATGTTCAAATGGGACATGGCGAGTGTAATGGGGGGTAATGGCGTGTATCCAATGCTGTGTGAATGTACAAGCACCAAAATGCTAAATGCTAATGGCCTCTTCTGTGCTTTCCCTCCTCCCTCCAGATGGCTGACTGCGGTGGCATGCCCCAGGTTGACCAGGTGTGTATGTCTGTGTTTGTGTGACAGAAACAGCTCTGCAAGACACCGTTACTGCCGTAAGAACAGGCTGGATAATCAGTGCAGGGGGTCAGGTGGAGGGGTGGATGGCATAAGAAGGTTGCACCTAAGAGCATTAGCAAGTAGCAGACATGAACCACATTTGTCAGGTTGTAATCCACCACCCTACACAGCACCTGCTCATAGCAGCTGTCATATCTCAGACCCTTAGAACTAAGCTGTTGGATGAGAGATTGAGTCTGTTATGTTATGTAAACAAGAGTGATAATTAATGACAAGAGGACTGATTATCTCCCCCTTGTGTTCTGTTTCTCTGCAGCCTGGAAAACTGACAGAAGCTTTCAAGTACTTCATTCAGGGCATGGGATACAGTAAGTATTCGAGACATGCAGTATTTATGGTGAAACTAAGATTGCACAATTGTGCCACTATCAATAAAAGAAAAAAAAACTTGTATTCTCTAAGTTCACAACGCTAAAGAGAAGTTCTGCCACCTTGTGGTGAGATGAAAAGCTTGCATCCTGTTCTTCAACCATTGGTGTTGGCTGATAAATGACTCATGCTCTCACCGGGGTGTAACTTGAACTCTGCTGCAGGTCGATTGCAGATGTTTACTGTGTGCTTGGAACAGTAGTGGAAGAAGTACTCAGTAATCTTTCTTTAGAAGTAAAAATAGGAATACCACCGGAGTAAAAGTTTTGCACTGCAAACTGCACATTTTGAATAAAATCATGATTAAGAATTTTATTAAAAAGCCAAGTTGCATAATATTGTACCGTTCGATAATTATTTTTGTTGTCATTAATGTGTAAACAGAATTTTAATGTGATATTCATATGACATAAAAACTAATATTTTAAATATAGTAAGTAGAGCAAATAGAGGTATAGAGTAACATGAACTTGAGTAAATTTATTCAGCTGCTTTCCACCATTGCCGCACAATTGCACCAGAGCAAGCTTCAGTCAATAAAGTGCATTTACTAAATCCTCCTCCTCTCCTCAGTGCCATCTGCCAGCATGACCCGCCTGGTCCGCTCCCGCACCGCCTCCGGCTCCAGTGTCACCTCCTTCGACGGCAACCGCTCCCGCTCCCACACCAGCGAGGGAAACCGCTCCCGCTCACACACCAACGAGGGCAGCCGCAGCCGCAGCCACACAGCCGAGAACCAGCGCGGCCGCTCCCACACAGGCGGCTCCATGGACGGCACAGCCAACAGCAACGTGGACCAGGCTGTACCCAAGTCCACTGAAGTGTCCTGTTAAGCGACCCCACCCCCACCCCCACTTTCTGGACACCCAAACCTCTCAAGAAGTTCCCTTCGGTCTGTGCTGCGCTGCCTCTAACTGACACACAGTCACACACATTCCTACGCACATACACATTGATGTGGAGATGAGGGACATGATAAGATAGCATACTTGGATTTGTAAAAACGCACAATGGACACTCACCTGCAGAGTATTCAGTGCAGCTGAGATGCCCCAATTTCAAAATAGGATGTCTCTTGAGTAGGAGGTCAAAGGTCAACTGTACGCCTGGTTTGTCATTCTGAGGAACTCAAACATATCTGAGCAGCAAATGCTTCTGAGCTCCATGGCCAGGTGAATGTGTAGTTAGGGGTAGTGCAGCATCTGGGAACACCGAAGCGGAGAATGTCGGAGAAAGCTGTGGCTACGAGTACACCAGCTTGTACATGTATTGCTCATAATCTCTCATACATATATATATATATAAAAAAAAATGTTTTAATTTCCATTTCTGCATTCCTTTCATCCTGTTTTTATCCATTTTTACCGTACTGACACAGCTTTCTCAAATATACCTGACTGTAAATGACTGTTTTCTGTTTCTCATTGTAATTGTTTGATCATTTATTCTTTTACTTTCCATGTCTGAAGTGTTGTCGTTTGTACGTAGGAGCAGATTTGTAGATGTGGAGAGAAAACGGGGAGGCACTTGGGTAAATAAAACAAATGGCAGTTTGCTTCACAAATTGCAAATGTAACTTTGAAAATTAAGGGACAGACTTCAAATATATCATGTATATACAGCAAATAATGTTTCATCTTGCCAATGTCCATTATCCTTGAGTTTTTTCAAAACATCATCTGTTGTAACGATTTTCTAGAAGTCACATCTGTCATGAATCTTTTCAGGAATCAAATGATCATTGTACGCTTTGCCATTAATCAGAACACACCCTGAAATACAAATTCAAAAGCTTTTACATCTTATGCTTTATTAATGGATCATGGCCTCAGACAAAAAAGTTTTTTTCCTCTTTTTTTAAATGATGATTTCTATGCAATCAAGCACAATGGAACAAAGATGTGCCATGGAATTGTTCACTTTTTAGATGTGATGCTCCTATGTGGTTGTGGATTTTTGGGTGAGTGAAGTTGTAGGTCCACATGTTAACATGAGGATAGCCATAGAACTTACCTGACACCTTCTACTCCCTGTATTTTACTTGCACTACAGCAGCATTTTGCTTTGTAGAACACATACACAGCTTTGTAAAGATGCGTGGCACAACTGTCTAATGCTGTAGAAAAGCATTAAAATGACATAACAGTTTGTATTTATTAAAAAAATGACAATAAAAACCCTGTAACAGATCTTCCCTGATTGTGTTTTTTTTATTTGACGATGTGGACATTTGTAAAACAGTCTTATGAGTAAGGCTTTGTCTTTGGCATATCAGCTCATCTCTGCCTTTTGTTTTCATTTATTATGGAAAAATTTTCATGAAAAATAAAGGAAAATATCTACAGTGCAGCTTTATTACCTAATTTGCCTTGTGAGTTTAAAGACAATGTTTGATTGTTCTTGGAAGCAGCTCAAGAACATCACATATGTTATTACATATGCCAAAAGCGACATAAATAAATTAAGCCTTCAATATTTCACACACTGGCTGAATATTTTCATTTGCAAAGCACTTCTTCAAATATTCTTCAAAAGCACATCATGCTTTATGAATCCATTCTGGAGACACATTTATATTTCATATTTACAGATTTTTCCAATAGGAAAAAAGACCATAAGAAAATCCCTTGTACATGATCATACATATTACAAATATAAAACACTGCATAAAAAAAAGACGTCAGATGCTCCTCCAGGCAGAGAGCATGGATGACATGTCACTTCTTTAGTTCATGACTTCTGGGTAACCATAGTAACTCTCCAGCTCAGCGAAGATGTCATTGGGGTTTTTGCAGCTGAGGTTGCAGAAACACGCTTGGACCCACATCATCTTCCAGGTGAATCCCGTCCCGTTAGGACACTCAAACTCAACGTCGATGGTCTTGGACTTGTAGGGGATGCAGCAGCGCTCGTCTGTGCAGACGCCGCAGTACTTTGGCCTGTACTCCTTCTTACTGGTGCAGCCAGAGATTGTGAGGTTGGAGGGCTGATCTTCCCTGTAGATGTTCAGACATTTCTTTCCTGGCTGTGGGAGGAAAGGAGGAGAAAGACGTTGCATCAGTTGTCAATATGCAGTCCTTGTTCGACCGCTTTAGATATCAGACAGAAACACTACCTTGATGTGTTTGGTGATGTCGACCTCACAGGGCCGCAGGTTGCAGAGGCGGGACTCTTTAACGAGCTCACATTGCTCATTGGCGTTAGAAATCCTCATGGATAGGCCTCGGCCACAAGTCTTTGAACAGGGGCTCCATGAGGTAGTCTGGGTAATGCAGTTCTTGTGCCAGCTTCTGGTCTCAGCTGGGAAAGCTGAATTAATGTAAACAGAAGAGCAGTAAATAGATCATGTTCTGGCTGCAAATATTACAGATTGCTTGATGTTATACACACTGATAAGACTTTGTTACGATTTAAAGCTTAATTCCCTGAAGGCTGACTGCTACTGTTCTCCTTCCAACCATCAACAACCAATTGTTCCTACATTTGTAATATTTTACCATGTAAAGGCAGAGGTTTGGTCTCAACGTTGGTAGGAACGCAACATCCACCCCTCCAAAACAAAGATATTGGCTTTTTAATGCCATTAACCAAACGTTTTATTAACATATAAGATCTTAAACTTAAAAGTCATATTAGAGTAAAACATAATACGTTATAGAAAGGCATAAACATTATAAAAACGTCATAGTATAATAAGAAATAAAAAGTCATTAAAACTTAATAGTATAGTAAAGCATAAAAACTCATAGTATAGTAAGGCAAAAAACGTCATAAAAACGTCATAGTATAGTACGGCATAAAATGTCATAAAAACGTCATAGTATAGTAAGGTATAAAAAGGTCATGGTATAGTAAGACAAAAAGAGTAAAAAAAAATTTCATAGTATAGTAAGTCAAAAAACGTCATAAAAATGCCATAGTATAGTGAGGCATTAAATGCAATAAAAACGTCATAGTATAATAAGGCATAAAACGTCATAGTATAGTAAGGCATAAAACGACATAAAAAGGTCATAGTATAGTAAGGCAAAAAACGTCATAAAAAGTATAGTAAGGCAAAAAAAGTAAAAAAAACCATCATAGTATAGTAAGGTATACAAAGTTAAAACAACGTCATAAAAACATCATAGTATAGTAAGGTATAAAAAATCATGAAAACATCATGGTATAGTAAGGCATAAAAAATCATAATAAACGTTTTAGTATAGAAGGCCAAAAAACATCATTAAAATGTCATAGTATACTAAGGCATAAAAAGTCATAAAAACGTCATAGTATAATAAGGCATAAAACGTCATAGTATAGTAAAGCATAAAACGAGATAAAAAGGTCATAGTATAGTAAGGCCAAGAACGTCATCATAGTGTATAGTAAGGTATAAAAATGTCATAGTATACTAAGGCATAAAAAGTCATACAAACGTCATGGCATAAAAAGTCATAAAAACGTCAGAGTATAGTAAGGTATAAAAATGTCATAGTATAGTATGGCATAAAAAGGTCATAGTATAGTATGGCATAAAAACATCATAAAAACGTCATAGTATAGTAAGGCACAAAAAGTCATCAAAACGTCATAGTATAGTAAGGCATAAAAAGGTCATAGTATAGTATGGCATAAAACGTCATAAAAACGTCATAGTATAGTAAGGCATAAAAAGGTCATAGTATAGTAAGGCATAAAAAGTCATAAAAACGTCATAGTATAGGATGGCATAAAAAGTCATAAAAATGTCACAGTATAGGATGGCATAAAAAGTCAGAAAACCGTCATAGTATGGGATGGCATAAAAAGTCATAAAAACGTCATGGAATATAAAGTCATAAAAACATCATAGTATAGTAAGGCATAAAAAGTCATAAAAACGTCATAGGATAGGATGGCATAAAAAGTCATACAAACGTCATAGCATAAAAAGTCATAAAAACGTCATAGGATAGGATGGCATAAAAAGTCATACAAACGTCATAGCATAAAAAGTCATAAAAACGTCATAGGATAGGATGGCATAAAAAGTCATACAAACGTCATAGCATAAAAAGTCATAAAAACGTCATAGGATAGGATGGCATAAAAAGTCATACAAACGTCATAGCATAAAAAGTCATAAAAACGTCATAGGATAGGATGGCATAAAAAGTCATACAAACGTCATAGCATAAAAAGTCATAAAAACGTCATAGGATAGGATGGCATAAAAAGTCATACAAACGTCATAGCATAAAAAGTCATAAAAACGTCATAGGATAGGATGGCATAAAAAGTCATACAAACGTCATAGCATAAAAAGTCATAAAAACGTCATAGGATAGGATGGCATAAAAAGTCATACAAACGTCATAGCATAAAAAGTCATAAAAACGTCATAGGATAGGATGGCATAAAAAGTCATACAAACGTCATAGCATAAAAAGTCATAAAAACGTCATAGGATAGGATGGCATAAAAAGTCATACAAACGTCATAGCATAAAAAGTCATAAAAACGTCATAGGATAGGATGGCATAAAAAGTCATACAAACGTCATAGCATAAAAAGTCATAAAAACGTCATAGGATAGGATGGCATAAAAAGTCATACAAACGTCATAGCATAAAAAGTCATAAAAACGTCATAGGATAGGATGGCATAAAAAGTCATACAAACGTCATAGCATAAAAAGTCATAAAAACGTCATAGGATAGGATGGCATAAAAAGTCATACAAACGTCATAGCATAAAAAGTCATAAAAACGTCATAGGATAGGATGGCATAAAAAGTCATACAAACGTCATAGCATAAAAAGTCATAAAAACGTCATAGGATAGGATGGCATAAAAAGTCATACAAACGTCATAGCATAAAAAGTCATAAAAACGTCATAGGATAGGATGGCATAAAAAGTCATACAAACGTCATAGCATAAAAAGTCATAAAAACGTCATAGGATAGGATGGCATAAAAAGTCATACAAACGTCATAGCATAAAAAGTCATAAAAACGTCATAGGATAGGATGGCATAAAAAGTCATACAAACGTCATAGCATAAAAAGTCATAAAAACGTCATAGGATAGGATGGCATAAAAAGTCATACAAACGTCATAGCATAAAAAGTCATAAAAACGTCATAGGATAGGATGGCATAAAAAGTCATACAAACGTCATAGCATAAAAAGTCATAAAAACGTCATAGGATAGGATGGCATAAAAAGTCATACAAACGTCATAGCATAAAAAGTCATAAAAACGTCATAGGATAGGATGGCATAAAAAGTCATACAAACGTCATAGCATAAAAAGTCATAAAAACGTCATAGGATAGGATGGCATAAAAAGTCATACAAACGTCATAGCATAAAAAGTCATAAAAACGTCATAGGATAGGATGGCATAAAAAGTCATACAAACGTCATAGCATAAAAAGTCATAAAAACGTCATAGGATAGGATGGCATAAAAAGTCATACAAACGTCATAGCATAAAAAGTCATAAAAACGTCATAGGATAGGATGGCATAAAAAGTCATACAAACGTCATAGCATAAAAAGTCATAAAAACGTCATAGGATAGGATGGCATAAAAAGTCATACAAACGTCATAGCATAAAAAGTCATAAAAACGTCATAGGATAGGATGGCATAAAAAGTCATACAAACGTCATAGCATAAAAAGTCATAAAAACGTCATAGGATAGGATGGCATAAAAAGTCATACAAACGTCATAGCATAAAAAGTCATAAAAACGTCATAGGATAGGATGGCATAAAAAGTCATACAAACGTCATAGCATAAAAAGTCATAAAAACGTCATAGGATAGGATGGCATAAAAAGTCATACAAACGTCATAGCATAAAAAGTCATAAAAACGTCATAGGATAGGATGGCATAAAAAGTCATACAAACGTCATAGCATAAAAAGTCATAAAAACGTCATAGGATAGGATGGCATAAAAAGTCATACAAACGTCATAGCATAAAAAGTCATAAAAACGTCATAGGATAGGATGGCATAAAAAGTCATACAAACGTCATAGCATAAAAAGTCATAAAAACGTCATAGGATAGGATGGCATAAAAAGTCATACAAACGTCATAGCATAAAAAGTCATAAAAACGTCATAGGATAGGATGGCATAAAAAGTCATACAAACGTCATAGCATAAAAAGTCATAAAAACGTCATAGGATAGGATGGCATAAAAAGTCATACAAACGTCATAGCATAAAAAGTCATAAAAACGTCATAGGATAGGATGGCATAAAAAGTCATACAAACGTCATAGCATAAAAAGTCATAAAAACGTCATAGGATAGGATGGCATAAAAAGTCATACAAACGTCATAGCATAAAAAGTCATAAAAACGTCATAGGATAGGATGGCATAAAAAGTCATACAAACGTCATAGCATAAAAAGTCATAAAAACGTCATAGGATAGGATGGCATAAAAAGTCATACAAACGTCATAGCATAAAAAGTCATAAAAACGTCATAGGATAGGATGGCATAAAAAGTCATACAAACGTCATAGCATAAAAAGTCATAAAAACGTCATAGGATAGGATGGCATAAAAAGTCATACAAACGTCATAGCATAAAAAGTCATAAAAACGTCATAGGATAGGATGGCATAAAAAGTCATACAAACGTCATAGCATAAAAAGTCATAAAAACGTCATAGGATAGGATGGCATAAAAAGTCATACAAACGTCATAGCATAAAAAGTCATAAAAACGTCATAGGATAGGATGGCATAAAAAGTCATACAAACGTCATAGCATAAAAAGTCATAAAAACGTCATAGGATAGGATGGCATAAAAAGTCATACAAACGTCATAGCATAAAAAGTCATAAAAACGTCATAGGATAGGATGGCATAAAAAGTCATACAAACGTCATAGCATAAAAAGTCATAAAAACGTCATAGGATAGGATGGCATAAAAAGTCATACAAACGTCATAGCATAAAAAGTCATAAAAACGTCATAGGATAGGATGGCATAAAAAGTCATACAAACGTCATAGCATAAAAAGTCATAAAAACGTCATAGGATAGGATGGCATAAAAAGTCATACAAACGTCATAGCATAAAAAGTCATAAAAACGTCATAGGATAGGATGGCATAAAAAGTCATACAAACGTCATAGCATAAAAAGTCATAAAAACGTCATAGGATAGGATGGCATAAAAAGTCATACAAACGTCATAGCATAAAAAGTCATAAAAACGTCATAGTATAGGATAGCATAAAAAGGTCATAGTATAGTATGGAATAAAAACGTCATAAAAACGTCATAGTATAGTAAGGCACAAAAAGTCATAA